GTAATTTTTCCTGTGCCTGATGGCCCTCTGTATCTCTACGTAGTCAAGTGTCTCTTTAACTCTCTTGCTCATTTATTAATTGTTATTTGTTTTCTTTTTGTTGAGTTGTCTAATTTTTTTATCGATCTTGGATATCAGTCCCTTGTAAGATATGTGATGCAAATTGCAAATATTTCCTCCCATAGATTTGTATAAGAAAATACTTTTAATTACTTAAAAAAAAAATAACATCCAACCAGGTACTTGATAGTGTCAGCTTAAAAAGAATGATATTTTATCTTCCATTTATTTTTCTTTTATGTGCCTCATAATTCCTTCCATTGTTGTTTGGTGTTCTGCTAGTCTCTTTAGTGTCTGTGTAGAGTACATAATTGGGGATCATCATCATTTTTTCTTTTCCATTATGAGTATGAAATGAGAGCTTACAGGTATATCACAGATTTGTAAATCCCAGTATACACTTATTTAGTAATTTGGGTGCATACATTAAAAAAGAATTACAGCCATTTGAATTTCATCGAACTAGCTCAGGTGTTATGAAAAGATTTATTTGAGGCTCTGTATACTTTAGCTTAGTGTAGCATTTGTTAGCTGAATATCACTTGAGCTTTATTTAATTTTAATTTTATAATTTTGAAAAACCACAATTTAATCATATTTACTTAATCTGTAGCCCTTTGTCTGAAACTTTATATTTGAAAATTCTCAGCTGCAGATTTGTTTATTTCAGTGAACGACCATAATAAATTCTTTCGTTAGGAAAAAAATTATATTCTACCTTTAAATAAATCTACTTAAAATCTGTTAGTATGGTTATGATGCCTGTTATTTTTACCCTACTCTAAAGTGTTTCTGAGTTACAACTTTTTTTTTGGTTTACTTGATCTCATCCAATAAGTATCTTTAAAAAAAAAAAAAACTACAACTTTTTTTTCAGTGGAATTTCTCTAGGTTTTCTTGTTTCTGTCCACTTTAGCAGTGGCTTTGTTTCTCAGGGATCAAATGTAGTGAACTGTTGGCCCAAACTTTCAGTACTTAGTGAGGTGTCTTGTTGGGTTGATTCCATTTCATGATTTCATACTCTGCCTTTCCTACAGTTGTGGTGTTTATACTGTCAGCTTTTATTAAGATGAATTATGATAATTTCCATACAGCTGGTTGGCAGTTGTGGGAGTTTATTTTATCAATCCAAAACTCAGACTTGTTCAGTCAATTCAGATGTCAATAAAACAGTTGTTACTTATTTTCAGTTATATCATTGGTTATAATTTATACTTAGAATTGAAAATGTTAACATGTGTAACTGAGTTTGTTTTAATTAAGTGTATAATTAGGCTAATGAACCTTGTAAAAATACAGTGGTGCAATCTTTAATATAATCCAAGCAGTTAAATTTCTAATTATGCATCTCAAATCATGTACAGACATGCAGCATTTCAATGGCTTTGCTTTGTGTGACTGTATTCTTTCTTGCCTTTTGTGTAAGCAACATTGTTCAAATGACATGACAAAATGCATAAAAGAAATTATGTGTATATTTGAAATATTTTTGTGTTAGGAGAACTGTTCAGAAGTGTGCATCATAGTGGACATAGTAGTTTTCTCCACAGTTTTGAAAAAGGCATGGGAATAGTAGAAGTGTGAGGTTGAGAATATTTCAGGATTACCCCCCAAAAAGTATTTGCTCATAAACCCTCTCGTTCCCATGTTAGGTTAGGTTTATGTTAGATTTATAGAAGAAGTAAAAAGAGGAGGTTCACATTCACATTCCCTAATGTCATGATTTTATGTTCTGATCTCCCAGCCTAGTAACTACACCAAGGCCTTTTCAGAAGTCTGACAGGACTGCCAGTCTGGAGTGGTTCTCTCTGAACTTTTTCCCCTAAAGGAGCTTACCCCCAAACCCCCTTCTCCCTCTGCTCTCTCATTTTTTTTTTTTTAGTGTGTGTGGGGGGGCAAAGTGGTTTCTTTTTCTAATGGAACATGGTTACTCCTCATAAGAAATTCTAGTACTGACTGACAAGAAGGAAAACTGTTTTCTTCTGTTTTAGCACATTGTCCTGCTATGATGTCCTGAATTTCATTAGCTTCATTCATTTCTCTAATAAAAGTATTATAGATCAAAATTCCCTAGACTGTCAAATCTTTATTAATTTAGAGTTGAATTCACAGAACATGTGACTAAAGTTTGTTTTTAGTTATAAAATTTGAGAGACCTTGATTTATTGAATGTGAGAGGTATACAACAGCCTTTTTTCCAGGACTAGGAAAGTAGTGCCCATATTAGTTCCTGTTGATTTTCCTTCAGAAGGTACTTTTCATTCTGAATGGCTGTTATATTATCAGTTCAGTTTTCCTGCTAACTTTATATATATATTTCATTCTCATTCCTTTTGTAATCATTTTCACCTAGTAAAGCAAGTGAGATAATTTTGTAGATTGGACCACTTTACTTTTAAATTAATTCACTTTTTTTGAGACAGTGATTCTAAGTGTGGTCAAGTACTTAGAAATCAGCAGGATGCTAATTTCTCCTTAATTCAGTGTGTTCCTCTGATTCCCTGATCAGTTGCTGTGTCACTTGGTCAACTCTTCTCCATTGCCTTCTATCCTCAGTCCCATCTATTTCTGTAGTCTCTACTGCAGAGATCTTTGACTGTTAATTTAAAACTTGATTTCAAAAGACTCCATTTTATTTTATCTTAAGTAAAACGTCTTGATTTTGTGAAGTTTTCAAAGCATACTAATAATTTATAACATTTTTACTATATTCTAGAATTGTCTATTGATTAGATACTATAGGAGGCATATTCAGAATGATAAGCCATTTAGTAAATTATTTTTGAATAATTTTTGAAAATTATTATTCTAGAATGTTTCACTGTGAAAAAGTAGGGGAAAAGGAACTAATATTAACTATAGAACACAAATCCATAGACACTCAGAGGAATCATTTTGATTTACCCCTTATAGAATTAAATCACAGATTTCCAAGTTATGTTACTTTAAGCTATCAAATGCTGATTCAATCAGGGATATCTTCGCAAATTTAAATGAATTATTGATTCTAATTAACTATGGGTAATATGCAATAGATACAGTTTTTAGAGGTCATTTTTAACTACATTTGTTTTCAGATATAGTTTATGAAACATTTCTAAATATATTCTCTGGCTATTTTAGCATATGTGGAATGTTTTCGCAAACATAAAAAATAATTATTTGTCTCTTTAGACTGCAGAAGTGGATCTTCACTGAGAAATTACTCATGATATTACCAGTTAAATGGATTAATTCTTGATAGGGCATGTTTTTATTGGAGATGCATTTTCAAAAATCATTCTTGGCACACAGAAGAAGGGTTTCTTAGCAAACGATGTGATCCCACATCGTTTGATCATCAGGTTTTTTGCTAGCTGCTCTTATATGTGGCTTCAGCATGACTAAATAGCTCTTCTACTTGCAGTGTTATCAATAACTTATGTTTTAATTCATTTACCAAAGTAGTCTTCTCACTCAAGAAGCTCATAGTCTATTTTAATAATTTGATTTTTTAGGTAAAATACTGTGTTCAAGTGTAGATAGAAACAAACTTAGGGAATTCTCCAGAGATAGATTATACACATGATGGTACAATTCAGTTACTTAATTATCGTTGTAGCATATTATACACTCTCTTCCTTCCAAATATAGACTCAGAGCACTCATGCAGCTATGTCAATGTATTTTATTCTTATTTCTGTGCTGAGTTAATAATTAGAAATGTTTACATAATGTTTTTTTCATAAGTCAGTTATATTTTTAGATTCTTAATGCTAGTAGGTGATAATTGTCAAATGGTAAAATTACAAAATCTAATTTAAATATTATGTATTATTCTTGCATGTTTTTACACTTGATGCTGTTGGAAAGCATAATGCCTCTTTACTACATTTAATAACAAAAATATATTAAGCAGTGACTATAAATATTCATGAATGAAACTGGACTATACCTCAAATAAACAAACAGACAAACAAACAAACAAAAAACCCAAACCTGTGCTTTAATTCAGTCCCTCTCAACTCAGGCATATGTTTGGTATAAATATTTTTAGTGAAAAAAAAATACTAATCCTAATTTTGTCTTACTTGTATTCTGTTTTACAAAGCTTACAAGAAATACAAGACACACTTGCCTCAGCCAAACTCAGTTATACATACATTTAGTTATCATTTACGTAGGCCTTATACTAGTTAAGTGAGCAAATAGGATTGCTGAATCCTAAATTCTCTATTTTTTGAAGAGGATTCGATGCCATACTAGAGATGAAGTGTGTATAATAGTAGCAATTAATAGTCCTTCATGTGGGTATCTAAATGTCTGTTCAGGCTTGTCTTTTAGCTTGAAGTTTGAGTTCACATTGACGAGATGGTGACTGGCATTCTTTGTACTTGTCTCTGGCTTTTACTTTTCTTTAGCTGGGAGTAAAGGGTCACCTTTGAGAAACCTATCAAGCTTTAAAATTCAGAATATTAGGCACTATCAAATTCAGATGCCAATTATGGATTGTGTTCTGTTATTCAATCTTTCCTATGTTTCTTCTAAAATGTAAAATGCACTGAGGCTCTAGCCTTTTCTGCTTACCTTTACCTTCCCTGGAAGGCAGGGGTAGCCATCTGCAGTTTATTCACGAATGCATGCTCATACATGCTCTGCACTGCAAAAGCTACTGAACCATCAAGCAAGTTGTTTTATTCATTTTTAAGCATAGAGAAAAGTATATGGTTTGTTTCAGGGGAAAAAAAAGTATTGGCAAGCCTGTCATGATTTCTTCTTATTTATTGAGAGGATTCATTTCCCCACATAATTTATACTGTGGTGAATTTTATGTTGATGGTATTTTAAAATGTATTATCAAAAGGAAGTCTTTGTAAATATAATCTTAGCATTAATGGAGTAGGACTTTGTGTATAGTAGAAATATTACATGTGTAATAATTTGCATTCTTAATGTTCCAGAACCCTGGGGTTATTAGTAAAACGATTGGAGAAAGGTGGTAAAGCTGAACAAGAAAACCTGTTTCATGAGAATGATTGCATTGTCAGGATTAATGATGGTGACCTTCGAAACAGAAGATTTGAACAGTAAGTGTGTGTTGGCTTTTCTGTTATCTTTTTATGCTTAATGCATGACAGAGTGCATTCAGTTGAAGTGCTTCAAACAACATATCTGTGATCTCTATCTGTACACTGGAGAGAAGTATTTTTGGCCATTATCTAGCTTTTAAAATTTTAATCAAACTCCAGGTAATTACTACCATTAGACTATATATCAGAATGCCCTCTGACTGATAGAGTGCTTCTGAAAATATTCTGAACTCAATTTAGGCTTTGCATTTTGCCATTTTGTCACCTTTCAGAAAACTGAGCACAATGCCAGTTTTTATTATATTTTAACTCCTATTTCAAGTTTGTTAAGCATGTCTCAGTACATATAATCAGTAAAAGTTTCTTTGAACCACAGAGTTGTGGCATATTTCTTTTCTTATCCTGCTGCAAGTCCTTATTCAACTAAAAACATAAAATGTGTCCAGTGCTTATAAAACCAGACAAGAGTGGACAGAAATCCTTAGGCCTTGTTGAAATCTAGACATGGAGCCAGCCTGAGATGGAGTGGTCTTAGGGACTCGTCATGGCCTGGAACCAGGACCCACCTCCTAGCATTTGGCTGTACATTGAGGCTACACTCTTGTTGTTGAGATGTGTACATAAACAAGTTACTTTTGCTGGTAAGTAAATGATTAGTGGCTTTTTATGGTTTTCTGAGTACAGCTCTAAGTACATTTTTCCAAATGTTCAAATGATTCTCATCGAAGGAAATAGTTCATAATTTTTAAAAGTTGTATTGGATATTGTTGAAACATTTTTTTTTATTAAGATTGAAATTCTAAAATCTCTGTTGTGCTTAAAACTGCCATTTAATTATTTATATTGTGAATATAGCACTTTGTTCATATTTGTATATAATTTTTCATTTTTATTTAGAGAATGAGAAATTTATATTTGGAGAAACAACTCCAATTCAATGAAGACTTGTGAACTTGATGGATAAATGGGTTATTACAATTTTGTTTTTCAGATTCAACAAAGTCTGTCAGTCCTTGTTGCTTAATTAGTATACTTAATTAAGCTCATAATATCTTCTCATCTGCCAGTCTTAATTTGCTAATTTTCATTCTTTCTCAAACCCAGAGCACAACATATGTTTCGCCAAGCCATGCGTACACCCATCATTTGGTTCCATGTGGTTCCTGCAGCAAATAAAGAGCAGTATGAACAACTATCCCAAAGTGAGAAGAACAATTACTATTCAAGCTGCTTCAGCCCTGACAGCCAGTATATTGATAACAGGGGTGTGAACAGCGCGGGGCTTGCGGCTCTGCAGAGAGCTCCCCGCCTGAATCACCCACCTGAGCAGATAGACTCTCACTCACGACTACTACCTCAGAGCTCACACCTCTCTGCAAAACCACCCACAGCTCCAACTCCAGCTCCAGCTCCAGCTCCACTGCCCCAAAGTGTATTTAGTACAAGTGTAAGCAGTGGCTATAACACCAAAAAAATAGGCAAGAAACTTAACATCCAGCTTAAGAAAGGTATGTCCATCTTGTTTATATTTTGTGAAGTTTATTTTAACCCAAAGTATGTTTTTACCCCATGATGTGAAAACTGCTTTTCATATTCATTTTGTTATATAAAAATGAAATGTAAAAGTTTAGCGAATGACCATTAAAATTATGTTTATGTAGTGGTTTCTACTAAAGTAAAATTTTTTCACATGGAAGTTTCAGGATGTTATTGTGAAACCCAATAAGGCAGTAGTGGTTGGGATTTGACTATTTTGATTGACCCACTTGACACTCCTATGTAACCTTTAGGAGGACTTTGAGATCTTCCATTTCAACACTGTCATTTTGGTGATGGCAAGGGATTGATTTGCTTGGAGTTCTTAGTGGTCCATGGTAGTAGACCATGAAGTCAGTTGGTGACTCCTTGACTCCCTTCCCAGAATATTGTACTGCTTCCCTTTCTTAAGGTGACAAAGGCATTTAATAGGGATTTCTAATTCTTTATTACCTATGCCTCTGTTACCTATGTTACCTGTTACCTGTTACCTATGTTACCTGTTATCAATTTATAAGTATCCCCTTCCCTCAGACTATGATCCTTGTGCAAAGGAAGCATGCTTTTCAAGTTTGCTTCCCCTGTGACTCAGAGGAGATTATTAGACTAACTTTTAGATTTCCACTCTCTGTATCCTCCAGGCACTATGATATACTTTTGCTGTTAATCATCTTTTTTTTTTTAACCTTAGCATTTTAATATAAAATTCAGTTATTTCAATGTATATTATTTTTAAAAGTTATTTCTCTTTTATGAGCTCAACCAAAAAGGGTTGAGTGTTTTCTTTAGGTCACATTGCCGCTGGCTGCATATTCTTATTAGGACATTTTCTATATTCTGACTTTGAGACAATTCTTCGTTCTATTTAGGGTATATTTTACAAGATTGTAAACTCTGAGAGTCCTTTTTCCTCTCTAAATCATACTCATTCAATGAATTTCATATGAGCCACAAATTTCTTATTTCAGGTTACTGACTTTGAAGCATCAGATAGGTGGTTGGCATGATCAGGAATTGCTAGCTATTTCCACTTTTGAAAATCCTGACAAACACCCAGGCAGATCAGCATAAACCTCATTTACTTCTGTATATTTCTCTACAAGGCAAACATCAGATCTTCTTTCTTCCTTTTTCTCTCTCAAATAATAGGCCTTAATTTTTTTTTTTTTTAAAGATTTATTTGTGCATACAGAAGTGGGGTACAGGCCAGAGGCTCAGGGATGGTGAGAGGCTTCACCAGAGACAGAGTGGGGAGCAGAACAGGCAGATTGACGAAGTACACTGCTGAGGGGAGCAGCAGGCGGGTCAGGAGAGGTCTGCCACGCCATGTGGTCACCTCCGGGACAGGCGGGAATCAAACTCATGTGGAAGCGCCTTAATATTCTCAGGGCTGTGCTTTAACCAACTGCGCCACCAGGGAGGGCCAATAGGCCTTAATTTTTAAAGAAAAAAAAATCAAGAACCACAAAGAGGTTTGCATGAAAATATATTTTATTATTGATAATGATGAAATAGGACTAACTTTCATTATTGCTAACATAATACTCTTTATTTTTTACATTTACTACATTTTTTTTTAAGATATATTTTTTTATCCACACAGAACTGGGATACAGGCCAGAGGTGCAGGGGTGGTGAGAGGATTCACCAGAGACAGAGTGAGGAGCAGAACAGGCAGACTGATGAAGTACACTGCTGAGGGGAGCAGCGGGCGGGTTGAGAGAGGTTGGCCATGCCATGTGGGCTGGGGAATCGAACTCATGCTGAAGTGGCTTTAGCTTCTTAGTGCTGTGCTTTAACCTGCTGTGCCACCAGAGAGAGCCCACATTTACTACTTTTAATGAAACAAAAGCATAGGGTATGTCAGTTAAAATAAGTTCTGTGTGAACTGACACACTTTGAATGACAGTTCTTCATAAACAGAGATCAGATCTAAGTACTAAAAAAGAGAAGGCTTAGCTGTAATTATTCTGTGGCATAATTTTGGAACTAAGTCACATAACCTGACAAAATAGAATATGTCCCAAAGTATTTGCTTCCATAATTATGATTTCTTAATATTTATTCCATTTTGGCATTCTCTATTTCCCTGCTCTTTTGTAGAAATTAGCTTTTTAATAAAGTTAGAGGAGAAGGTCAGTAATCTGTTTCAGTCAATGCAAAATGTTTTGTTGGCTTTTCTAAATGAAAATTGGTATCTATTTATCTTTCTATTAAAGGTCAGTGCCTGAACTTTTAACTTACTGATTTAGGGGTTATTGCTGATATTTTAATAATATTGAGATTCATATAACAGTTTCTGTAGTTCATACAATTTAATATTGTAAAGTTGGAGATAATTTAAAATTCTTTCATTATAAATGTTATTGCAAGTCATTAGAGTTTCATGGAAGCAGAGAGACATATGGAAAAGTCCCAACAGAATAATTAGGGGAATTTCATATAAGACAGTGCCATCCAGGCCTCAAAACCGAAGACTCAGGGAATTAACCACTCAGGCACATTAAGGTGAATTCAGACTTGAAGTAAATGAATATTTTGTTACAAGTCGAGAATTTTTATGGTAGGTTTTATTGTTTGTGTATTGAGACTTTTCTCTTTTTTCATTTTTTCAAACCACATTTTTGTACATACTTGTATGTTTATAGATTTAAATTCGTTAGTTATATACAGTGTGTATGGCTAGAAATATCTTTTCAGAAGCTCTGATAGCAGATAATTATTCTAAGAATAATTATCTAATAATTTTCATTCATTAGAAATTTTTTATTTTCACATGTTGGGAGGTATAATTTGGATTGTTGCATGTCAGTACTATTGATTTATCATCCCTTTTCTACACTGTAATGAGTTTATAAGGCTGCCTGTCAAGAATACTGCCAAACAGCATAGCATTTAAGCTCTACAAATCAGCAGAATAAATTATAAATGCCTCATTAATTTGAGTACCTTTTAAAATAATATAGTGATCCTCGCTCTTGTCAACCATGACCTTACATGGCTTCTTTATGGAGAGATTTAACTTATTTTTTGTTTTTGTGATTCCACATGGTAAGATTTGGGTGAAGTAGAGAGGAACTAGACAGAGAGTAGGTGTTATCTTGTCAGTTTTGCTTTGAATAATTCTAGCTTGGAGAGATTTTATATTACTTTTACATCTCTTGAATATATTTCTTTTTCTCCTACTCTACAAATCGGGACACTATTACTTTATATTCGAGGTCCTTAGTTTTAATGGCTATTTTCTGCATACTTTTTTTTTTTTTTTAGAGATGTTAGGTTTATTTTCCTACAGACCTACTAAAAGATGTTTTTTTTTCATCATTAGCTTTCCCATGCCAATTGAGTATGTTGCTATTTTTTCTTAAATTAGTGAATTTTGATATATAAGCTATTTAAATCGTATAACCCAAATCTACTATAACTTCCAAATTCTTATCAGAAATATAGGCCGTTGTGGAAGTTATAAAATATCAAATTCAGGTGAAAAGTAATTACAAGTCATTTATATATGCCACACCAGTAAAATGCAAAATATTTTATTTATTTGTTTCTGTTATCTATTTAGGTACAGAAGGTTTGGGGTTCAGCATCACTTCTAGAGATGTAACAATAGGTGGCTCAGCTCCAATTTATGTGAAAAACATTCTCCCTAGGGGTGCTGCCATTCAAGATGGCAGACTCAAGGCAGGAGACAGACTTATAGAGGTAAGTGATTTCCAAGTAAGAAGTTCCATGATTGTTGTAAAGTTCTACTTCATGGGTCACTTGCTAACATTTTTATATAATAGGATATTAGATTACATATTTTAGTAGAAGTATGTATTACAAAACGTATTTATATTTTGATTTTATGTCTTCACATGTTAGTTGATTAGAAATAGCCTTTTTAATAGTTTTATTCATAGAATTTTAGTTCTTTGGATATTTGGTTTATGAGATAATATTCCATGTAAGTACAGTGCCTCTTAGGTTATATTTCTAGATGGCTTTACACTTTTTGTCTGTCAACATAGAAATGTTTTCCACTTTGTAATCAGAACAGAGACAAATAAGGTAAATGAAAGCGGTATGTCTTTATGAGACGAACAAGAATGTTTTGAAATAGCAGCATGGAAATTGAATAGAGACATAAACAAATAAATGTAAGGCAAAAAAAATTATGTATTGGGTTATTGGAAATATTACAGTGTATTTTTTTTCGATATTTTTCAAGCAAAAATGCATTGACTTTTCAGAAACCCAGTGATTAGGAAGAATTTTCATTTATGTGAGTTTTAGTTAATTGATTTTGAGACTATCTTTGATATGTGTGTGTGTGTGTGTGTGTGTATTTATTATTTATTCTGTGTGTGTGAATGTTTGCACATATAGTAATGGAAGAAAGATTGACCTAAATTTCATTAATCTTCCTCCTTACACTCTGTTCTATGGAAAGAGGCTCAAAAAAAGGAAGGGCTTCAACACAAAGTAAATTCATGGTGTTGCTTCCAGAAAGGCTCACTTTTCCTTGGGGAGTAGATTGACTAGTATTAGTCCAAGTTTGTAGGTGTAGCTTGGATTTATTTAGTAAGAGACTCAGCTGAGTCTAAAATCTAGTGCTCTTTGCCTCTAAATCCAAAATAACAAAATATGCTGTTTTTGTCACTGCCTTCTTTCCCTCTCTTTTTTGCATCGACCTCCAACTTCCTTTCTTTTTACAGCTAATAACTTTATTTAATTTCTCTTTCAATACATAATTCCATTATTTTCAATATATCCCAGTCACTAAGAAAACTTTTTTTCTCTCTTTGTGCAGTGGGAAGTAATTGTAATTTTTGTGTCTTCAAAGTTGGGCTTTATTTTTTGTAGCTATAAAAGTAAAATTATATTTTCATATTTCAAGCCTTAATTTCTAGTATTTTTTTCTAGTGTACTTACATAGTACCAAAATTTTTGAGAGCAGTTTTTAGAGTGTCTAGAATATTTAGAATCATACCTTAAAGAAGTATATTTTCTAGAACTTTTTCTTTGCCTTTATATGAGTGTTAAGACTTGCCTACTTGTAGCCATTCCTTAGTAATATAACCTTGTGTTATATAAAGTGGTGTTTAGCAAGAAAATTTTGATACTATACCCTTGAAAAAATGTTATTTTCATCTAAAGAACACTATTTTCCATTCTTATTTCTGTAAATATTGGTGTTTTCTGATCATTTCATAATACTTTATAAAAAAGATGATGATTTCAAATTTATTTTTTCTGATAGAAAAAATTTGAGGGTCCTCCCTGGTTATACAGTGCTAAAGAGCAAGCACTATGAAGTCATCCTTAGCCACTGTAGCACGAGTTCAACCCCTAGCCAGGGAGCTACCCACAGGCACAGCAAACCTCTTTTGCCTCACCCACTGCTCCCCTCAGCAGTGTGTTTCAGTTAATCTACCTGTTCTGCTTCCCACTCTGTTTCTAATGTACCCTCTCACCTGCCTGCACCCCAGCACTTGTTGCATACACAAATAAATCTTAAAAAGAAAAAAATATTGAGGTTAGATTACAGCTATCCCTCAAAAAATATCACTTTTGTAGAGAGCTTTCTTTAATGTTGCCTTTTAGGGGTATAGTTATCTGTGTAGTTTAAAGTACTATCCCCCAGGAAAACCATAGCTTTTGATACCTGTGATACACAGGCCATCAAGTACAAAACCAGAAAGCTTTGTGTTAACTTGACATTTTCGGTAGATTTGTTTATTGCTAATTACTTGTCATAAGCTCTTGTAATTGCAGATTTTGGTTTATTGTTGAGTACTGAAATATTAACTACTACCTACCTCACTTTCTAGTAGCCTGGTCTGTTTCTTCATGCACATTACCTGTTAGTTTCTAGATTTTGTCTGAATTTGCCATGAAATAAGTTATGTTATACAGCAGACATGATCAGCCCCAGAATGTGTTTTCAGGTCTGTGTCTGTTTGCCTAGAAATACAGTATAATTTTTTTTTATTTGTTTTAGGTAAATGGAGTAGATTTAGCAGGCAAATCCCAAGAGGAAGTTGTTTCCTTGTTGAGAAGCACTAAGATGGAAGGGACTGTGAGCCTTCTGGTCTTTCGCCAAGAGGATGCCTTCCACCCAAGGGAACTGGTGTGTACATTTAGAATAGATAAAAGATTTTTGATGGACATGAACCAGTGATCTGTGTTAGCTGGATGGCCAGTGTTTGAGACATTTTCAGCTATGTTCTGTATGTTATACATTTTTCAGGTTTAACTTAACATAAACATTTTTTTCTCATATTCCTTCAGCTTTAGAAATATTTATCCACAATGTTGAGTGAAAGGGTACTTAAAATCAGATTGTAGGAGTATTTCCTAAGACAGCAAATGTTTATTACTGAATGCTTTCAAATGTACTAATTTAATACAGAGACATTGATTTTTTTCATAACTATCATTTCAAAATTTATTGTTGAACACTTGCTATCTTCTCCAGTACATATGACAAATTTTCATTATTTCAGATTTTCATAATACATGTAGTTAAGCCAACTAAAGATGATTGCTTATTTTATATGAAAATGAGTACCTCAATTAAAAGTTATTTTTGAAAATAGAAGACCTTGTGACAATAAGCCCCATGGCCATTAATGACTAATACAGGCATTGTGTAGAATGACAATCGGAAATGAAATACATTAGTTTGCAAACTTCCCATTTTACTTCTTATGCATATATCAGTAAACTTATATATAGGGGATATTGACATAGTGTTGGTCTGAATTAAAAATATATATATTTATATAGTTCTGAATTTTTAATGTGGTTAGGTGTTATTTTAATTTACCAAAAAAAATTCTAGTTGGGTCACTTTACTGTATTTGACTTCTCAACTAGCTTTTAGCTTTTTCTAAAGATCAAACAATCCATATAGACTTGAATGGCAAAGTTTTATGGGCACACACAGTTCCCAAATTTATCATTTAGCCATAATTTTCATTGGTTATTAATTCAAGTATGAATGTTTTATGATTAATAATTTTTTTTCTTTTATTATAAAGCAGATAAATTTTAGTCACAGGAATATCCTGCTCTTTTTTATATACAGATCAAAACATTTACTCTGTTACAGAAATGTTGGATTATGATAGGGCTGAAATGTGAACACTTATGTTTAAGTATATTTTTAAAAATTATAAAAACTTTATTTCTATTTTAAGATGTTTGGTGCATTATTTTTTTCTCAATTTAAATTCAGTTTTGCCTTTTCTCCCCAGTGTTATCCAATTTTATTCTTAAAATGCCACCTGATCCTAAATCTGGAGATGTCTCTATTAAATTGTAAATGAGCATTAAAAAAAATATATTCAGCTTTAGATGTGATTTGATGAAGCTTTATGTCTTCCTCACTTTATCTAAGCCTGGATAATAGTTAGCATTATTAGATTGCCAAAGATTAAACACTGCTCTTAAGCAGCCTTTCTGGAGTTAGTGCCAACATATAGGAGCCTTAGGATATTCAAGTTCTTTTTGTCCAATTTTGGTCTTCCAGGCTTCTGTTTTTCCCTTCTGCTGCCTACAGTTTTTTCTTGGTTATTTAATTTATTGCTTGTGAGCTTTTCATTAAGGAGTGTGCCAGTGTGCCGTCAGTCTATTATTCATGTTGCAGCTGCTTTTCAAGATTTAAAAGAATAAAAACCTAAAAACTTAAAGGGAGCATTTAAAATTACTTTGAATCCAATTAACAAAGCTCTTTCCCTCTTTTGGGGGTGTTTGTGTTTAAATTATATGACTAAAGTGAAATACTTTCATCAATTTGTTTTTTTTTTTTAAATCATGTATCACTATATAAATAAATTCTATAATAAAGAAAAATAAAATTTTATAACCTAAGTATTACTTTAAATATAATATTTATGATTCAGACTCTGGTTCAGATGGTTATTGTCTGGTCTAGCTACTAAATTATAATGTACTTTATGACATAATTAACTGAACGAACTTAAAATCTTTGCTAGAAATAATACTACATATAGAAAGCAGTTTAGTAAGATTTGTTTTTCTCTCAGAAGAAGTTCAAAATTTACTTAGAATAAGCAAGAAAACTTACATTTCTAAAATTTACCACTGCACAACACAAAGAATAATATAACACACCAGTGACAGTTTGGAAGATCAAATTAAACATCATATATAATGTAATCACCCTCTATATAATTGGTGGATTTTAAGAACCAACAAAATTTCCTTTAAAGTTTTGTATCCCTGTGTGTTAAAGATGGCTTTGGTTAGTCTGTATTTATGTTTTTCTTCAATTCTTCTAGAATGCAGAGCCAAGCCAGATGCAGATTCCAAAAGAAACGGTAAGAGCTTTGTGTTTTGCAGGATGCAGAGATTTTGGAAAGATAAATGGAACTAACTTTTTAATTAGACATGAAGTTACTAGTCCTTCCTTTTCCTTGCTTATAATAGCTACTATATAGGTTTATTAAATTCCAAGGCACTCTTATTTTAAGGCGAATTATTGCTGTTACCCTTAGTAGAGGATAGCATTTGATTATTTTTGGTTAGATAGGGATAAAAAGAGTGAGATTAATTTCTCAATCACTTTTATAATTAGAGGAGCCAAATTTGGTGAGTTTAGTAAATAGTCTGATACACACACACACACACAGACCTCATGAGTTGTGAAATGACATAAGAAACTACAAAATGAAAAAAGTAAAGGAGTCAGGCTAGTAAAACCAGGTGTGAAATAACACAAAAAGTATCTTAAACAGGAAAAACAAAATGTCATTTAGATTAAGCATAGTAGTTGTCCTATTAACTTACATAGTACTTGTCCTAGTAACTTATAGTTATTTGTATAAGTTATTACAAGGATAATTTCTCTTAATAAAAGTAAAACTTTATAGTACAGATTAAAATGCAAATATAGTTTTTTCTTATGTGGAAGACAAATTCTAATACAGAGTGAGAATAAAGGAATACTTTGAACTCAAACACAATACCGTCCTAAAAGAGGATTGCCACGTCAGCTTCTAAAAGAATGATATTCTGTGGCTGCTCTGCATGCTGAAAAGAAGTCATGTTCATTTTGACATATGGAATCATCCTCTGAAATTCTAAATTGAGACTTTTATACCTTAAACAATATAGTTTCATTATTCTCAACTGTTATAATAGAAAATTTAACAAAACCATATCCACAGTGGATGCTTATATATGTTTTTCCAAAAATTGTCATATTAAGTAGACACAAAAAAGTTGGAGTGTAAAGAATTTGCATAACAACAGGCTTTGACTTTTCTTTGCTCATTCATGAACTATAACTTTGTATCTAATATATTATACAACATTTTCAAACATTCCATATTTATGAAAATGACTGATACAATAGTCCTCATAGAAAATTACTAAACAAGTTTGAGAATATTACATCATCTTAATTATTCTTTTTGTAAAAACAAGAAAAAAAAAAGTGGCATTTGTGTGTAAGTTGAGGAGAAATTGGACAAATTGTTTAAAAAAATAAAGAACAATGCACTATTTACTAAAAAGTTAGAATCATTTTTTTCTCACCATTTATCAAAATCAATCATCGCTATAAATGTATTAAGAGATATGTAAAAGTCTGTGTATATTTGGGGAATTAATACTTGTCCAAGCAGGACAAAACCAAAATGTCATGAGGTAACAAACATTTATATTTGTTCCTCTATACTAGAAAATTTTCTCTAACAATCACCATACCTTAAAATATTTTCAAGGGAATTGCTGACTAGAGATAATTCTGCAGTGTTCTTTTTTGAGTGACAAATATCTCTCTCCTTTATTGTGTGGATCAGTTTACATAGAAATAACATCTGTTAATGCTAAGAGAATCTGAGATGCGAAATGAAGACAAGAACAGTAAATTAGGCATATTCTTTCAAAAACTTAGTTTTGGGGAGGAAATTGATGATTAGCATTAAACTTTCCCATCAGTGATAGGAGCAGCAGCCTTGGCTTTAAATATGGTATCCTATTTGGAACTGCAAGGTTCAAGCTAGTACAGTCCTCATCCATCAGCCCTGTGTATTCATAATACATGCTATAGTAAATAACAATTTAGTTACCTTAATGAAAGTACTGAAATACACACATATGAGACACATATCCCTATGTATCTCACTTTCTGTTATAAATTTTTCTAAGGTTTTTCTAAGCAAAACAAAAGAAACTCCCTCCCCATGTTTCTTTTTGGTTTATGTTAGTGCAGCCACTAAGGAAAACAGTGGTTCTCAAAAAATTAAAATTTTACTAACATATGATCCAGCAATTCTGGGTATTTATCAAAGAAAATAAAAACACTAACTCGAAAAGATGTATGCATCTCATATTCATTGTAACAATAATTATATATACCAAGATATGGTACTCATGCATCCAAAAATGGGTGAATAGATACCTTGTTTTATTTAGGTATATTAAAATAGATATATAGATATAGATGTGTATATAATATGTATATCGATGTATATATAATATGTACAGGAGTATTATTCAGTTATAATAGAATGGAAGCTTGCCGTTTGCAACAAATAGAGCTTTAGGACAGTATTCTCAATTGAATGAGTCACAGAGCAAAATACAAATAAATGCCATTTGATCTGACTTATTCATGGAATCTAAACAAACAAGCAAACAAGCCAATAAATTAAGCCCATGGATAGAGAATAGATTGGTGTTTTCCAGAGGCAAAGGGTGGACTTGGGGGCAAGAGTCAAAAGATAAAAAACAAACATTATTTCTAGGTTCTCTGCCTCTCTTTTTATGGGAAATAATTAAATTCATTGAAGTCATAAAAATTTTAATGTTACTTAAACTGTCTTGATACCGAAAGCACCTTGAGAAACAAGACCTGATAGGTACTAACCTATAATTAATTTGTTTTGTGGCTGATTAGCACAGTACCACATATCTAATTTAGTCTGAGAAACTTAAAAAAAAACAAAACAAAACATACTTTAGGTATAGGTATAAGATTAGGGCCAACTGTTAGTAGACTTTGAATTTCTAAGATGTAAGTTTATTTTATATCTTTTAAATATTGCATTAATGTGAGTTGGAGGTTATAAATTCAGTCTTAGTTACCTACTTAAAATT